AAACCTCTTTAGAGGACGATGACGCCACCAGGTGTTCATTAGCAGGTACACACATCACCAACATGTCTTAATACTTTTTGACTCACCCTTGCAGTCCCAGGACTGAAACCAAAGTCAAATTAAAAAAACGTCCAATGTTATTTTGGTTTGTGTCCCTCCTCCCCTTCATCGTCTGCTCCCTCCTCCCCCCACCCTCCCCCGCTCTCCCCCGGCTGTCCTGCCCTTCCCTCCTCTCCTCTACCTTCTCCAGGGCGACACCTTTCTATTAATACCATCCTTCATCTGAATACCCACTCTCATTACCGCTTGTCGCGTCCAAAATGACCCCTCTCACCTCCCCCCTCCCTCCCCTTCCCTCCTCCTCCTCACACTGAAACCCATCCCATAATCACCGCCAACCCCATCCTCCTCACTTTTCTTTTCCTTACTCAAGTCTTTTCTTCTGGGAGGGCCATAAAGAGTCAATAACGTACAAACCCCCGGAGGCGAGCGCTCCTCCAGAAGCTCCGGATGCTTCTGTCCGACTGCCAAAGCAATTAAATCCAGGCCAGTCGGTTTTTTTGGACCAAATCCTTCCAACCATTTCACCCTCCCTTGTTGTTTTTGAGTCGGAAAACACAAAGAGTTCTCCCATTATTACAAGGCTGAAGCTGCCGTTAGCATCAACACAACAACAGGCTAATGGCCTCGCCGAGAAAATGACGACAGAGGAGAGGATGCAGTGGAAATAAAAGGAGAGTTGGAAAAAAAAACAATCACTAAAACCTGAAACTGCTTTGAATATTCGTCGAATGAACGTATAATTAAAAAAGATTAGGATAAAAAAAAAGAACTTTTTTATGTGTTGTAAAAGAATCCAATTTTAGCCATAATGTACCAGAGCGAAAGGCTAAACGAAGCTAACGCTAACCAATCCTGTCAGTGCCAGCACAGGCCCCCGAGCCAGATGTTGGAGACTGCAGTCTTACCTTATTGAGGACGATGACGGCCTCGTGGTTTATCCCCGTGATGTTGAACGTGTCCCCGCTCTCTCCATCCAGGATGGTGAACTCCATCCTGGCGTTCTCACCCAGGTCGGCGTCCGTGGCGGAGATGCGTCCGATCTCAGCCCCGGCGACGGCCAGTTCGGAAACGGAGAAGGACCACATACCTGTGGGAGACAAGGAGGAACAGAGTGAGGAGGGAGGTGGGGGAGAGACAGCCGTCATCTGTCAGCGCCCGCTAAAGCTTCATTTGTCAGTCCAACATTCAGTTTGGTCTTTTCACGGCGGCGTTCCTACCTGGGAATTCATCACACTTAATTCCAGATAAGGAGCCATTTATTTCAGGAGAACTGAGAGGATGAAGGAGACGGATTAGGGAGAAAAAAGGAGAGGGAGTTTGTGTGTGAGCTCTCCATTTTTGAGATGTTATTGAAAGTAAGATAAGATGTGGCCTGAAAGCCCGCTGCTAACTGAAGAGAAACGCCAAGATTAGAGACGGAGACGCCGGCGTCTGCTGCGGAACATGACAAGAACTAAGTGCTCATCACAAACACCAACTTTTCCCGGTCCCTGCAGGCGTCCGCTGCGTCCTCCTCCTGCTCACGAGTAAGAAATCCAGATAACAGGCGCCTTTCATGGCGTTTGAACGGCAGTCGTTCTACAGTCAGTGTTTCTGAAAGCGGCACATCCTGAATCCTTCTGCTGCCTTGGCGTTTCACAGACTCAGAGAACGGATGAGGATCTGGGGACGAGCACGTTGGCCAAACTAATTCACACAAATATCCTGCTGCAACACTTGACTTCAGAACCGACCCCTTTGTCCGACTGACCTGTGACCTGTGACCCGTCGACGTAGAGTTGACCAATCACACGTCAGCATCAGTGATTGGTCGATCAGTGCAGCATTTCTACTTTATTTTTCTGTCCCACACAGACAGGCCGCGGCAGCAGCAGATCAGAGTGGGTGGGAGAGGACAGAGACTGAGGGAAGGGAAAAGTAAGATATTTGTGTGTTTGTGTCTCTCTCTCACACACACACACACAGATTCATTCAAACAACGCTGTTATCTGCACAGCTGAAGCCAGAGGAATCAGACAGACCTGGAGGAGAACAACATCTCACACCAGCACTGACAGAAGAACAGATAGGACGATATCAGAGCCACCGACGAGTCCTGACGAGTCCTGACGAGTCCTGACGGGGGACGGGGGGTTATTTTCACTTTGTGGATCAGTTATTACGCCTCACACATCAATGACAACTTTTGGCAACTAAAAATGTCCTGCTAAGATCGAGTACTGCGGTCTCTGTCAGAGACAGAGATCCAAGCAGAGGACGAGGCAGTTTTTTATATCTCCAAAAAAAAATCAAAAATAAAAATCACACAGGTGCTTCCCCTCCAACAGGTCTCTGTTGTCAGCGAACACTGGTCCAGTATCAACACTTTTATTCAATCTGGTCTGCAACCCGTGGCTCCTGAGCCCCACGCGGCCCTTCAGGATCTTTGTGTCGGGGCGACGTTGGTGGTTTATATCTGTGAGTTCTCTCAGTGGGACGAGAGGGGGCGGCGTCTGCAGCACTGATGTGTGTCAATAATCCATTTATTAAGTATTTCTCAATTTCTGGCTCCACCTGCAGGGAGAACGGGGAAGGACACGCTCTAGAAAAACACAAGACAACTGTCCCCAGGATTCTGCAGACTGGTTATTAAACTGAGAACAAACAAAGGAATCAGAAACTATAACGCGGCACCATTAGCAGAGATCGTTGCGATGATTTTTCTCAGCCGACAAACACAAGATTGTTAACGCGGAGGTGATAATCACCAGGACAACTCTGAAAACACAGCAGCCCAGGAGGATTTGACGGGATTAGAACAAAGTCCTCCATGATCAACAATAAAACCCCACTGATTCTCTCTCTCTCTCTCTCTCTCTCTCCCTCTCTCTCCTAAATTCTCTGCTCTTACCTAATATAACTGACTGTAATTGCTGGGTTATCGTAGCAATTATCTCCAACCTAATATCATTATTTGTTTGTTATTCCTCCATTCGTGCCGACAGATTATCACTGAAGTATCATCTGTGTATAATTGTGTCCCACGCTCTCAGATCTCAGTCCTGTTTCCCTTTTCATCACATCACTGTCGGGTGGAAACATGCCAACTCATTTCCAACCCCCCCTCTCCTGCTGCGTTGTTTTAAAGTTGTTAAATCAACAAGTCGTCCCTTTTCTGGCCGAGGCCAGAGAAAAGTTTCAGGAGGGGAACAATAGGTCAAAGGTCAGCAACAGGAAGCTGAAAAAGCGGCGTGAAAACTAGTTTCAAATATGATCTCCTGAAACCACAGTGAAAGTTGTTAGGTGTCCAAACTAAGGTACTCTAAGTTCCCCCAGACGTTGGAGACGTGTCCTGACGTGTCTCAGACAAGTGCGCAGTAATGACTTCAGTGAATGACTGATTTAATATCAGCCGACAGTGGATTTTTATAACCACGGCGTGTCAGCCACTACTGACGAGTCCACGCGCTCTTAATTTGGCGTCTTATTCTGAAGGGCTGGGTTTCAACAACTTCCCCGTGTCACTTCATTTAAAGGGGAGGAAGATGGAGGGGGGGCGGGGGCAACAATGAGACCAGCATCAGGGCAAAATGAAGACAGAAAACGAAGCGATCTCTACAGCCGCAAAACTGAAAGAAAAAAAAACCCACCACAAATGTCCAGAAGGGCAGATGATGACAGCTTTGCCTCCTGGCCATTTCGGAACACTTCTGGGCCTGGAATCATTAGCCGTGTCTGGCAGCACTCTCCCCACTGGTGTGCGCTTTAGTGTGACAGGCTATTTTCTACACAGCGCTGCTTATTATGGCACGATAGCAGCTCTGAGAGAGAAGTTCCTGCATATGTATCAGCATGTACCGCCGTGTCTTCATGACAGTCCCCAAATATGAAGCACACCTGGAATCACCGGGGACACGGACGATGTCAGTCGCCTTAAATAGCTCATTGGCCTCAGGTACAGGTGGCGCTACACACTTCCTCTACGCCAATTACAAACAGACACAGTCACCGCAGCATCAGGCTGAACTCATGACTCTGAAGACTGGGCAAGTCATTTAGTTTAGTGGAAATACATTATTTTAAAGCCATTAGATGGCGCCAGTTGAAAATAAAGGCTTTTTCAAGAAACTAAACGTGAAGTGAGATGAACAAAATAAAACCTGAGAAAATAAAACAAAATTAAATTGCAACCTGAGTAATTCAAAAACTGATTGACATGTTGGAAAAAAGGACAAGTCCACTGGGGGGCGACACTTCTTACATTAGGTGAAGACTAATTCTGTACAAACATAACTAACTGAAGCAGTAAATCTGCACACACAAAACACAGCAAATATTTCAGCACCAGGAGCTGTCCACAGCCTGACTGTTGGGACTGATGAGGAAACTATGCACTTCCACTTCTTCTGGTCAGGACACAGATGTTTTATTGACCATTTAAACCATGTTTCCAGACAGTGGAGCACCAGTCACTGACCACCAGTCACTGACCACCAGTCACTGACCACCGCCCTCGACCGCTGCCTCCGACTCGTAGTGTTTCCATCAAGGTCTCACATTATTTCACACGTGTCATTCAGACTCTCTCCACTCACACTCACTCTGCAGTGAAAGAACTCACTCACAGCCAGTGATTTAAGGTCACTCACACAACTTGGTTCGTGATCGTCGTCTCTGAAAAGTGTTTAATGAGAGTTGACTGTAAAACAAAACCCTGGGCCGCTCTCTGTCATCCTGCGCTCTTCACTTCCTCCGTACAGATCTTACAAACGTATTATTCTTCAGCCTGACGAACCGCCGTTAATTTGAAGAAAAGTTTTCCTGCCGCTCCGTGTCAGGGAGAATCCATTTACAGAACGAATGACGCCGCAAATATTTACAGGGAGGAGATGAAGATGAAGAAGAACGAGGTCAAAGTCAGATTTAATGAGTCTGAACTATTTGATAAAGATCTATTTGTGAAACAACTTGACCCTAAATAACCCATGAAAAATAATGAGATTAAATATTTTAACCCATCGACTGCCAGTGTTTTAAAACTTGCTCCAGTTCTTGAGAAAAACAAACAAACAAACTATAGTTTTTTTGGTGAAATAAGATTTCTTTCCTGTCCTTCACCATCCTGCTCCCTCCTATAGGGGTCACCGCTGCAGCTGATCCATCAGCAGTGGTTCAGGCTGAGACTTTCTGGCTCTAGTGCAGAGAAAACTTTGAGGTAAGTGTTCCAGACCCTGATGTTCTTCTGACAGTTTTCTCCTGCCTTCATCTGGGGAAAAGAAAAAACCATCCAAGGTGCAGAGAACCTGAACAGAGCTGTGACCTTAACGACACCCAACACCCCGGGGATGAATTAAAGCCCTGAGTGTGAGCCAGGCCTTATCAAAAGCCATCAGTCTCTGACCTCACTGACGCCCCCGCTGGCCAGTGAAACCCCCTGCAGATTACAGGGGGAGCAGTGGAGCAGGTGGGAATGTAACGTTCAGTGTTTGAGACACGTTCCCCAACTGGGAGAACGGATCAGTGAGAATTAGAAGACTATAACTGTGATTATATAATCTGATTATACTCAGATTGAAACTGCGATGCTTCGTCAGCTCTGGTGCTGCTACATTTCTTCAGCTGCTTCAAATATCTGAAGAAAAAACAAACAAACAAAAAAAGCTTGATAATCAGAAAACCGTCCATAAACTCTGCTGCAGACGCCCACGTCGGCCCCTGCAGGCGTCTGCCCACACGAGTGGGGACATCGTGTTCCAATGAATCTACACAAAACAGGAGTTTTATGTGGTGTGACTCCCATGCTCACCATCTGGCCGCTGACAGAGGAAGCAGAAGGCTGAGACGACGACGACGACGACGACGACTCGCACACAAACAGGCCTGTTGCTAATGAGACAGCAAATTAGAGAAACTCTTATTTACCAGTCAGAGACGGGGGCTTCTATTGATCTGAGCTGGAGACCCCAGCAGGACACAACACCCCCCCCTCCCCCCTCTCTCTCTCTGTCTCTGGTCACAGTTTCAGGAGGACAGTGACAGCAGGTGTGATCCGTCAGATCAGACCACAGCCAGTCATCATCAGGTTTCCTCAGACTCCAGAGAACAGCA